AGGGGGTATGGGCAACATTTGAACAATGGTAAAGGGTTCATCACAGCGTCCAGCCCATTGGAGCCCTAACCACAGGTGTTGTCATACTTTTCCCGGAATGACTGGTGGAAGTCCTCCCCCCCCCCCGCAAAGGTTATGAACACTCCAATAATTGCCTTAAGTCCATTAAAAGACTATAGTAAGATCTGGAAAAGTCATGCTAAGCTGAGGCTTGTTCACAACAAGTAAAAATCCAAAACCCTGATGCTGCAAGCTATCTATTGTTTCTGAAGAAACCATGAGATATCCCATCAGTATATCTGCTATCCATAGAAATTTCAAGCTGGCTCCTAAGTGTCTGGTTACTCCCTAACCTTATGTTTTTCCTGATTATCAATCAGTTTCTTGAGATGTTCCAAACCAGATAACCCCTTGTCAAGAGAAAAGACAATTATTTACACTATAAAGAATGCTTTGAAGAAACTGAACTGAGGGTATAAAAATCTGTAAAAAAAGCAGCAGTGTGTGTGTTGACACCATTCGCTGTTGTTCTCGGGACACTGGAAGAAACAGATCGTCTCCCTTGAAGGATTGTACTAAGACTTTTACTTGTCACCACTGAAACCCGAATGCCTTGGACTGGTGAGATCCCAGCTCGCTCTTTCTCTCTCTCTCTCTCTCTCTCTCTCTCTCTCTCTCTCTCTCTCTCTCTCTCTCTCTCTCTCTCTCTCTCTCTCTCTCTCTCTCTCTCTCTCTCTCTCTCTCTCTCTCTCTCTCTCTCTCTCTCTCTCTCTCTCTCTCTCTCTCTCTCTCTCTCTCTCTCTCTCTCTCTCTCTCTCTCTCTCTCTCTCTCTCTCTCTCTCTCTCTCTCTCTCTCTCTCTCTCTCTCTCTCTCTCTCTCTCTCTCTCTCTCTCTCTCTCTCTCTCTTACAGGCTGATTGACCCAGTTTGGCTCAGATGTACCCTTATGAACTGAATGCTGGCCCATGAGGGTGTCAGCTGGACACCCAGACGGATTCAGAGGTATTCTGTTTACCTGTGTGCTTGTGTCTGACTGCAGTTTATTGTTGCTCTGATGAACTGATTCTTGGCATATGAGGGTGTCTGCCTGTCCATGTTGATCAACCTGGCCGGGTCAGGCGTGTCACGTTAATCTGTGTGTGTTTGTGTGTATGACTGATTTGGTGACTGGAGGAACCCCGCCCCACTGAAACTGAGTCCTGCAAGATAGCTCCATTGGGGGTGAGGACTTGCAGAAGGAAGATATACAGCTCCGTATAGAAACACAAGTAACACAAGCAGCACATTGATAGAATTACCAAGACCCTAGAAACATATCCCTAATAAACAAGCACACCCCAAAGTGATGGGCAAATCTGGTAACAGTACGTAGCCCTACTGATGTGACTTAAGCTAGTTATTTGGCTTTTTAATAGATACTAAAACTTTCCACTATGCTGTCTCCAAAATTTATTACTGTAGACAAAAGCAATAATTTCTGTGGTACAGATTCCTGATGTTGAGCTTGCTGCATGAGCATGTTACTGATTTCAGTGGGATCTCTTCTGGGGTAATTACTATACAACATCAATAGAGAGTATCAGTAAATTACACAAGGAGTTGGAATTAGACTCCCAGGGTGACAGTCTGATGCTACTGATTTCAGTAAGGCCAGGATTTCGCCCCTGGTCTTTATGTTCCTCAGACACAATCACCCCCCCCCCCCCATGCCCTACCCCAACTCAAGATAACACAGAAGTCCCTGAGCTGAGAGCAATAACAGACACCCCTCTCCTTTTGCTCTTGATGGGCTATGATAAGATGATGTCACTCTTTCAACCCGAATCCTGCATTTGGCATGTTTTTAACTAGCTGAGTAAGGGCCTTTACTAGGGGCAGAATCAAATTCAGTGTTCATCTCCTTGGAAGACCAGCCCCCACCACCAAGCCCAGGGAGTTATAGACGAGCATGAACACCATTCGGGTACTTAAAATGTTAAAAAGGCATTGAATCACAACACAGTGGTTGTTGCAGTAACATCCTCCATTTAGTTGATGCATGTGGTACTCTGCATTGGCTAAAATGGAGCATTAATAGTAAATGCACTCAGTGGCAGAATAATACAGACCAAACGAATGACAATACAAGACTGAATTCAACCTTTCATTAATCAAATGTCTTGGTGATTTTTTTAAAACAGATTTCTTTTGCATGTATTACTTGCTCTTGTGTTGGGAGGCATTTAAAAAGTTAATGCTGGAACTCTCACTGCAGAATTGTATTTTAATCTGTGTATGCATATAGGAAGCCTTGCTGACATCTATGTGAAGTCTTATGGTTACATGCCTTGCTGAATTGAGGTCTAGATGAATGCTTCTGCTGAAGACTTTTTCCATTAGATGTAACTCCTCACTTTCACCCTGGATGCTGAGAAGCAGCCCTATATAACATGTATAAAGTCTACAAGAAGGAAATGTGAAGCAGTGTGGAATAACTAGCTTAGTGTAACACCTGGACACACACCCTGCTAGAGAGGCACTGCACCAGCATAAAGCTGAATTTGCACTGTACTGTACCAGTAAATGGTGATGCTACCCCTGCAACTCTGTTACCCTGCCATACATGCTCTTTGTGCAGGTTGTATTGTAGCAGCCATGTCATTACTATTATGAAAGTGCAGTGGTGTGGATTTCTCTAGGGTACCTGGGGCCTCACATAATGGCAGTTAGGGATGGAAGAGACTCATTAATTCCCTGAGGCTCTCCCCCTTCCAGGGCATGGTACAGTCCTAAACAAAAGCATGTATCAGATATTAAACTTATCCTCATAATTCTTGATCTTAGCCTAAAGGCTGACCTTGAACATCCGGCACCTCTGAGCCTCTTAAAGAATTTAAGAAGGGGGCAGGGAAATAGAATCAGTCCAAGTTAAATTACTTATTCCTGCAATCCTCAATTAATTGGAGGCAAGATGTGTTATAAGTTAAGGAAGAAATATTTCCTGCCAATGTAAAACAATCACACTGTCAAGGATCTGCAATACCCAAATCTCTCTCTCTCTTTCACTCACACTCTTGCACACGCACAGAGTTTTTCTCTTGTGTTGAGGGAACCATTCCAAAATTAAAGGAATGCAATTTAGGCAAGTATTTGATCTGAAGCTGATACCTATTTTTTACACAAAGTCTTCAGAATGCCATACATTTTTCATGCAACATGTCTGTCTCTGTACACAAAGGGGGTCACTAGTAACAGTGAACTACTTTCTTCCATCTGTTTCTCTGTGAATCTGGGTCATGCGTTTGACATTCATGAACTCCGTATTCACAAATCCCACTTTAGGATATAGAACAACAAATAGTTCTTCATTTTTATCAGCAGCCTGCAATAAGTGACCCGGTACATAAAATGAGGTTGTGGAAGCAGTAAGAAACAAATACAAGGCATCACTGGAAATACGTAGATGGGAAATCAGATTTACTGACATCTAAAAACAGAAATAATATTGCCTCTGGGGATGAACGTACCATTGGAAACAGCTTTAAAATTAGGTGAATGGGGGTATGCGTGGCTGATGTGAAGTTTATTGGATTTTTTTATGTTGTTGTTTCAATGGCTTTCTTGTTATTTCCACTCAGGTAAACTTTATTAACTGGTTCTGGAATGTCAGCTGCTGCATACACTAGTGGTGTTTTTGTTTAGTTGGAATCAGCTTCCAGAATGAAGCTTATATGAAATCCATTGTCTTTATAATAAAGTGCTTGGTTTTACTTTCTCAAACACTAAGCATTGATTAGATAGTAACTTACATTCGTTTGTCTAAAAAGTAGCTGTTAGGTTCTTTCTCTTGGGTGGGAGAAGGTTTATATCTTTTAATGTGAAATCCAAAGTGAATTGAAATCCTCCCAAATTCACAAGAAATTCTCTCTGAGATGGTTGCCTTTCATCTTGTATCCTTTGGACTCTTCACACACTTAGAATTAGGCATGTACTTTGCTGAATCAGGGCACTAGTTAGAATGAAAACTTAAGAGGAACTTCCGGCTACCACCAGAAGTACCATGTGAAACTTGCAAAGCAAATTGTTTTCCCTCTAAAGAACTATTTTAATAATCACATCTGAGGATGTAATGTTCTCCATGGCTACCCAGAACATCTTGAAGAACACTCATCACTGCTGTGCAAGCAAGGAAAATGAGTTACTGTGCAAGCAAGGAAAATGAGTTACTGTGCAAGCAAGGAAAAGGAAAAGGAAAAGGAGAAGATGCTTCTCAGGATGCAGAGAGACCTGTGATGTGGGGCAAAGGCAGGATGGCTCAGAGTCCTTTCATCGCCACTTACTTTGTTAGACAGTATAGCAAGTGCTGGATCCAAGAAAGGGCTTAGGTGTCTAGAGCCTGTTTATGTCCAAAATTGTGATCTATCAAATGCCTGCACAGTTGCTGCCTGTCATAGGAGGCACCAAACCTCACTAGGCCCCTGAGTTTTGCTTGCCCTCAGGCATATGGCCGCAGAAGCAAGCTTGGAACTGAGAAGTAATTCTCCTGAAGGGGACTGCTCTTTCAGGGGAAGCAAGACTGAGCTGCAGAGAGGAAGGCAAGCTGGGCTTTTCAGCTTGATCCTTCCCCCTGAAGTGAGATCCAGCAGGTACAGCTGCAAGGAATGAGTACAAGCTGACATGGGGAACAATGGAGGGGTTTAACTCCAACCCCTGAGCCACTGTGGGGGCAGGATCAGTCCCCTCACAAAAACTTGGCTGCCTTTGCATGATACTAGTTGCTTTTTTTGTTTGTTTGTTTGCCACGGCCTCTGAGTGTCTCTCCCTGCTCTGTTCGCCTGCTGTGGACACAGCAAGCCTGGCCAATGTGTGGCCATCGCAGGCAGAACTGTGCTCGCTCTCTCCCCTTAAGAGCTCTGTGCGGGGCTTTCATTGGCTGTAGCTATGCAGGCCTTTCTCTCCCTGCTTGCATGCCCCGCCTGCCTCTGTTGCTGTGCGGAGTACTGTCCAGTATCATCATGGAGGAGAGGCCAGCAGCAACAGATGCTGCTCTCCTGGACTTGCCTTTGTGAGGTTGGGCCAGAGCCACGCTGGAGGGGGGTGGGGAAAGCCCCCTGGGAACAGCAGCCATTGCCTCACTTTGAAAGACCTAAGCCACCCAGCCTCCTCCTCTCCTAGCAAGGAAGCGTGGGCTGGCTGAGCTTTGGCTGGTGCTCTGAATACAGGCAGCCCTTCTGTCTCAGCTATGTCAAACGAGGAAGACAGCTGTGGGATGGACAGAGAGGAGAAAAGCCCCCTGTGTGATTGCAGAGAGGAAAGTCCCCTAGCCAGGGCAGCACCGGCAGTGGAGAGAGCCAGATGTAGCCAGGAGATTGTCTGGAGGAATGTCATCCTGATGACCCTGCTTCACATCGGAGCTGCCTACTCCCTCTGCCTCATCCCCAAGGCCCGGCTGCTTACACTGATTTGGGGTGAGTCTCCTCTGCTGCTGGAGGTGTCTGTTATTTCGTTACTGCCGTGCAGAGAGATGCCTCTTTGTCATGGGGGAAGAGGGAGGGTGGGAGGGGGCATGTTGCATGTTTCTGGTGTCCAAACCTGGAGTATTAAGTGCTGCATTTCTCAAAGCGATGGGCAGGTGGAAGGGGGCAAGGCCCCACACCAGCCCCTGGTATCCCCCTCCATTGTGCTGATAATCCAGGACTGGGCCAGGGCTTTGGAGAAAGTGTTCCTAGCTTCCCCTGCTGCGTGTCACTATCCCCAGGGCAGGAGGCAGGTAAAATGTTCTGTGTTTCCTCATGAGGATTGAAATTACTCCATTGTTTTGGGGAGGGGGAAATAAAAATGGTCCAGAAATGTCTCCCCTCCGGATGGAGGAGTTCAGCTGCCTGCTTGTGAGTCCCTTCCTCCAGGAGGTCACCTGGGCTAGCTGTCCTTGCCCACCTCTTAGCACTAGGCAGCTCAAGTTCCCTTCTGAATCCACATCTTACAATGGACCAGGGTGGGGGGCTGGAGCCGTGCTAAGGGTCTGTTCCTATCTACATGAGCACCTTGCATTGCAGTCCCTGGATGCTGAAGGCTCTGAGCACCTTGCAGAGTGCCAGGCTAAAATGCCTCCTAATTTAGTTTTGTACCTGAACCACAATCAAGGCTGTTGCTACTTATTTCTCTGGGGAATCCTTACTTCCCCCACCCCAGCCTGGCCCCTGTGCCAGCCACACCTCCTTTCAAGTGTCCATTCTCAAGAGATGGTGCTCACTGGCTGGCATGTCCCTGAGTCACTAGCTGAGAAGCCCCTCTGTTACTGGGCTGGGAATGCACCACTCTGTCTCCAGTCTCACTTCCAGCTGTGTCCTCAGAGCACTTGCCCATGGGATCAGGACGCCAGCTTATCCTGTGATCATTTGTTCTGGTTTGGCTTCCTGTGCTCCCAAGGGCCTAACAGCCCTAGTGACTCTAGTTGGCACCTTCCCACCCTGAGTTGCTGAAGCGAAGGCACCAGAGCCTCATACATGGGTGTTGGACCCTAGGGGATTGGGATGGGGGAGAGCTGGGCTTGGTCACAAATCCTGGACCAGGCAGAAGCACAGCCCCCTGAGACTTGTCGTGGCCCAGCTGGCTCCCCCCTGCAGCACTGAGTCCTCCCGCTGGAAGTTCCTGGGGCTGCCTGCTCTTGGCAGGGCCTCTCAGACAGAGCCTGGGAAAGTGGAGAGGTACTCGCAGGCCCTTGCTATTTGGTTTTGGGGACTGAAGTGATTGTGGCTGGTTTGCCTCCCAGCAGGTATGCAGGAAACAGCATCACTGGGGTCTGTGCACTGCTCAGCCCTTCCCTGTGCTCAGACAGCTCCTGTCACTCTGTTCCCTCATGTAACTCTTTTCTTTGCACTCCCATGCAAGTGTCTCCTGGCACTCAGCAGAGTCCTGAATTTGAGCAGAGGGCTGGCCAAGATGCCCCTTGAGGTCCATTCTGACCCCATTACTCTAGGCGTTACCCAGGCATGACATCTAGGGAAAACCAAGGGACAAAACAGCTGAACAGCAAAGAGCGTAAGTGGCAGAGTGAGGACAAGAACTCCAGCTCCTCAGCTCCCCAGTGCCTAGCTCTGATCCTTCCACCTCAATGGAAGCATTTTTATCCCCTGAAAAATGCCTGTGTGGAAAGAGGAGGGTCACAGGAGGGCACAAATATGGCAGCAGCATGGGAAAGGCTGTACATTGGCAGAAGATGCCTACCCTCCTGGGTTCCATCTTTGCTCATAAGAGCGGTGGCAGATTGGAAGAGCCCTCAGACCTGCCAACAAAAGGCAGGACAGAAATTAAAATCAAGTGTGGCATCAGTTTGGTTCAGCCTCTGATGTGGCATTTAGGGATGTAAGGGGCCTGTCTTTACCCTGCAAGGAGGTGCAGCAGGGGAGGTCGAGTGCAGTGGTCCTTTTTGTCTCTAGCTGCTAAGATCCTGGCCAAAATCATCTTATGAAAGAGGTGAAGCAACAGGTTGCATACACAGCCTCTAGTGCGCTTCTTGTGAGCTCTTGGGCTGTGGTGATATGGACCATGGGAAAGCCTCAGCCTAACATACCATGCAGGGTCTAGCCCTTTCCAAAGATCTTGGCATCCCCAAACACCAGTTTCAATAGAGAACAGAGTGCATGGGGGGTGGGGGGAGGTTTTGCCTGCTTCTATCCTGTTGGGCTGTTGTGTTAGTCTAAATCATTTCTACTTCAAATCAAACCCATACCTGAAAGTGCACAGGGGTGTTGCTTTAAAGGTTTTGAAACAAAGATACCTTAATACCTTTTATTTTTAATAATACATGCGTGTGCATGCACACATGCATGGAGTAGAGGCAGCCTGTGTCCCAAGAACATTGGTGAGGAGACACTCCATTGTATTGGATATTGGGATGTATTGTTTTCTAGCTGAAGGAGTTTTCAGGCAGGTTATTTCGACATGCATTTGCAATGTCTGTGCTGATTCAGCACTATGTCCGTGGCACTGATTTCATTTAATCATTCGTACCTCCGGCTTTCAGCCCCTGCCTCCCATGCCTTCCTTTCCAGTGTTTCCAAAGGGGTTAGTTACATTATTTCTCCCTCTGCAACCTGTCCAAACTCTCTCTCTTTGGGCACCATCAAAGATAGTGCCACTTGCTCTGGCTCTGGCTATGTTTAGGGAAGGGTGGATGTACTAAATCTAAACTGAGAGCCCATGCTGATGCCCTGGTGTCAGCTGCAGAAATAGAGCAAACCCTTCCATGAAACAGCCAGAGCTCCCCAAGCAGAAATGCTGTTTCCAGCAAGTCCTTTTGCTCATTCCAGTTGGCTGTTTTGGAGTTGCATGTTTCTAAGAACCAGCTGCTGAAAGTTCAAAAGGGAGACGAATCTGTTCTAATTGTTCATAAATCTCCCGTTCTTTTGTTTTTCTAACAATATGGTTGTTCTTTAGGTGGCATTATTCATATCATTTCTAGTATTCCAGTTGCTCTACAAACAGATTAGGGCCACTCTTTCTTTAAAAAAAAAAAAATTCTTCTTTTCTTTCTCAGTTTTCTTAAAGTGAAAGCTATGACTGAAACAGCTGCTATCTATTAATCCTTGTAGAAAGCATGTTTGTTTTTGCTTTCTGCCTCTTTTTTGCTGGTCTCTAGACAGCTACCATTTTCTATTTTGGGAGGGTTTAGAAATCCACCCTCTGCTGTATCTCTTGGGGAATGCTATACATGTCTGAAGTAGCAAAGATCAGAAATCACACAAGAGTTGTAGGAGTTCAGCAGTGAGACAGGCATCACTCTGTTCTCTGAGCTGAGATGACTTATAGCTGACCATAAGAATGTAAGACCAAAGGTTTGGCTTAGGAAGGAGATCACTGCCTTTACATACAGGTTTCCCTCGTTTTATGCTGTACATGCATTTCTGGAAAACAGCACATAACTCGAATTCGCATAAAGGGAACCCACTTTACGTTTTAACAAATAGGGATGCGTTCTAAGACCTTGACTGTTCTGAACCCCAGACCCATTTCTACCATTTTTACAAGACAATTTTGGTACTTACCAACAGAAGACAGTACACACAAGCACAGGGTGGTGGTGAATGTTACCATAATGGGGATGGCAACTGCAGAAACACGTCGCAGACAACGAATGAGGAGCATAGATCTATACAGGAGACTATATTTTGGTGCGTGTCACTCCCACAATACACTGCACAAAGCAGCTGACTGCAGGCTTCCACCATACCAATCACATAAGAGTGAATTTATCTCGCATATGACAGATTTTTGGTATAAAAAGGGTCATCGCATAAGAGTGAATTTGCACATACAGAACCTGCATAAAGCAAGGAAAACCTGTAGTTCCTCAAGATTGCCATCTCCAGTGAGGCATGGTGCTCAAAGGAAATAGTATAGGTAAGCAAAATACCATATGCATTCAACAATTCTTTGTGTCTGTTGGGGACCATCTGATTGTGTGGGTTTACTGCTGCCCTCTGCTGTAGAGTGTTTGGACATCTTCTGGGGTCTGGGTGTGCATGGATGCGTATGTGTGTGTGTACATAGCTATGTCCATGCCACCTATGTGCTGCTCCTAGTTGCTTAGCCATGAAGCCTGCCTTGTCATCAGGGTGGCCATCATAGAAGACTGTCCGGTTGTCCTCTGTCCTCTATTGATACAAAACTATACGCCTTTATGTCCTCTATTTTTCTCTTGAAGAGAAGCAGAAAACTGGAATGTCTTCTATGATGGCCACCCTACCTGTCATGCATGCTTGAAAAGGAGGCAATGTGTCCACTTGAGAGTGGCACTGAGTGAGTGTTCTCCACTGCCCTTAGTCTCTCTTTTGAAAGCACTTATCAGCACGTGCTCAGCCCAGCTCTAAGGAGCCTACTTTACCTAATTTCTGGGATGTGGTCTACAGGGAACAGGATGGATTGTGTGTGCCAGGAGGTGCTGCAGACATGCCTTGTGAAGCTGTATGGCCTTCTGCTGGCTAACCACTGGGATAAGTCCTTAGCATTGATAGCTCGTTGAAGCTCTCTTTTAGCACAAAGGCTCCAAGGCCTCATTTTGAACAAGAAGAGGAAAAAATGCTCACCAGGCTATAGGCTGAGCCACTGCACAGAAAGGAATGCAAGATTTATGGGGCCAGAATCAGCACCAGAGATACTTAGCTATACTTTTAAGAAAAGCCTTCTAATCTTTTCCCTAAATTAGGTAATAAGCCAAAAAAGGAGCACAAATTTATTCTCTCTCTTTTCTGGCCATGCCATCTTTATCGCTTTCGTGTTCTGTGGCTTCTGCTTGGTGGATACAGGTATCTGAATCAGCCCTGTGCTCTCCTCTGGAAGGCAGTTATGAAATTGTTAGGCTAGGACTTGCAGGACTTGGGTTCAGGTACCTGTTCTGCCACAGATATCTGGTGTGACCTTGAGCAAGTCAAAGCCCCTGCTTGACTGTGCTGTGGTAGCAGAGAAC